ATACAACACCCCACAATCACCCTTTTCTAGAAGGCCCTCAGGGATCACACACCCCAAACTCACCCAAAGGTCCCCAAGGGCTGCCCAGCAGCACGAGGGCTCTCACCTGGCAGGCTGTTGTTGACCAGCTCCAGGTACTGCTCCACAGAGGTGAGGACCTTGTAGCCAGCGCTGTTGACCAACACTCGGGGTGGCAGCTCCCGCTCATAGGCCTGAGCAGGAGAAATGGTCATGGATGGGCTGTCCCCTGGGGAATGACCCCTCTGGAGATGGGTGTGTTATGAACAAAACAGCCTTGCTGGAACACTTGGCTCGAACTAAGTACTGACACTGAAATGTTAATTAGCTAATTGCTCCTGGGAATCACCTATACCCCCACCCACACTGCCATTCTAGGACTGGGATGCAAAATAGAGAGACCAATGGAATCATGGGAGGGGGTTTTGGGGTGAAAACAGCCCTAAATGGAAGGTGGGCACTGTGGAGAGGGCTGGACGGGTGTGCTGGTTGGGGAAAAGGGAACCACATCCCTGGTCTGTGTCTGACCTGTCACCAGAGCCTGCAGGGGACCAGACTGGACTGGGCTGTGGGAAGCAGGAACAAAGGAACAACTCTTCCTGGTGTTCTCAGGAGGGAAGGAGAGGGATAGCTGCTGCTGGACCTTGGCAGCAGGCTCTGCACATCCCCTCATCCTGCGGCTACCAGTGTGCCACAAAGACTCCAGGGACAGACTCTGCACAGAGACTCCAGGGACAGACTCTGCACAGAGACCCCAGGGACAGACCCTGCAGCCTTCTCCGGGGAGAGCTCTGTGTCAAGCCCCCTGCCCAGCTGATCCTTTTAATAAAGAGCTGAACATTAATAAAGGCATAGGCCCTGTTCATTACAGGTGAGGGGGGATTGTCCTCACCAGTTTGTTCTCATAGAGGACCAGCCCGTAGTTGTGTGGCACCACGCAGAAGCGGTTCCTCCACTTCTTGTTCTCCTCGATGTACTGGAAGATGTTGCCTGAGTAGATGACGTGGTCCTCCAGTGGAACCTGCAGGGAAGGGACAGGCACAGGGGATCAGGAGGGGACAGCTCTGCCCTGGGGAGCTCAGCGAGGTCCAGCCATGGTGGCTTGGGTGGGTGTTTCTTCTCTAGGGCTGTGCTGAGGGTCTCCACTGCATTACCTCCCATGGCGGCACAAATTTTGGTGCCTGAATTTGCATTTGGGCAATGCTTTGAGAGGCACCACAGGCACAGCCCCAGAAAAGTTCTGAGGGGCGGCTCATCCAGCATATGGTCACACCTCTGTCCCTGTGTCTTGGCTTGTAAGATCAGCATGTATTCTATTGCCATCTGTTAGAGGTTGGGCAGTTTTCTTATCTCTCCCAAGAACAATGACTCCCTCCAGGGAGAATCTTCTGTTAATGGCCATTGAATGTCTCACTGCATGGCTGGTAAAGTTCCATCATCCCATTGGGAGATGCTCCACCCAGAGGGAGGAGCCAAGCACTCCTACCTGCATAAAATCATCAATTTTTGGGACACCAGGGCAGCCCTTCGCTGGATCCCCAGAGGAGCAGCTTCTTCCCTGTGGAAGACCAGGCCCAACTACTCCATCCCCAGACCTTCAGAGAAAACTCCACCCTGCTACAGATCCCTGCTCCAGCAGCATTCCATTCTGCCACTCCAGGAGGAGCAGCCACCATTTCACTGGACTATTACCAACACCCTGACTCCTCAGGGTGTCAGGTTTTGTTTGTACTAATTACATATTTTTTTATTTAGGTTTTTTTTTCCTAGTAAAGAACTTTTATTCCCATTCCTGTATCTTTACCTGGGAGCCTTTTAATTTTGAAATTGTGGTAATTTGGAGGGAGGGAGTTTACCTTTCCATTTCACAGGAGGCTGTTGCCTTCCTTCACAGACTCCTGTCTTTTCAAACCCAGACACGCTGGCATCTCCTCCTGGGACACACCAAGCTCAGCTGAGCCCCTCCAGCCCCTCTGGCTGAGTGGAAGGTTGGAGCAGAGCTCTCCAGCAACTCTTCCCAGCTACTGCAATTCGGGTGTGTGCCACTGCTGCCAGAAGGTCCTGCCAGGGCATCTGCATGTGGCAGGAACCAATCCCTTCCAGCAGGGTCTCCTGGTGGGACAGGGCAGAGGAAAAGCACGAAGCCACCCCACAGAGCCCAGCACCAGATGATGCTCAGATGTTCTGGACTTCACTGGGACCAGTGACAGCCTTTTTAAACTAGGGGAGATTTTGAGTGGATTTTGGGCAGGAATTGTTCCCTGGGAGGAATAACACAGGGTGCCCAGAGCAGCTGTGGCTGCCCCTGGATCCTTGGCAGTGCCTAAGGCCAGGCTGGACAAGGCTTGGAGGAACCTGGGACAGTGGGAGGTGTCCCTGCCATGGCAGGGATGGCACTGGATGGGTTTTGAGGTCCCTTCCATGATTCCATGGCAGGATTCCATGACAGGAACAGGCCAAGGCCACCCCATGCCTCCCCAGCTGTGCAGCACCTCTTGGCCAACAGCGTTTCCACCATCCCAAACACAGCCTGCCTGACGGAGCCAGCAGTTTGTCCCAGGAATTTTGATGATCCCAGGAACATAAACAAGAGCTGAGAGCTCTCATGAGGGCTGAAGCGTGCGGCAGCCGCCTCTCCTGCTGTGGCCACCCACCCTGCACCATGGTGGCCACCAGGAGGGACCAGCCAGGGCTTGGATCCCAGCCTGCCCCAGCAGCAGGACCCTTCTGGAGGAACTTTTCTCACTCTTCTCCTGGCTCACAGGAACCTCTCTGCCTTTCCCAAGCCCTGACCACACACCCTCGTGGGCTGGGGGAGGTCTGACAGCAGCTTGGCTGCTCCTCACTCTCCTCACTGCTTCCCAAAGCCTTTGGAAGAGGGAAAAGAAAGCCCAAAGCAAGGCCTGCAGGGCTGGGGGCCAGCAGGAGGAATGAGAACCCGAACCCCACGGCCAGCAGCAGGGATGGGGACAGGAGGGACGTGCCAGCTCTGGGGAGTCCCCAGCAGTGACTCATCCAAGGGGAATGAACCCCCCTAAACTGGCTGCAAGGCCTCTGCCCAGGGCAGAGAGCTGGACAGAGCAGCTGCTGATGGACTAGAACCCAGGCTGAGCCTGGCACGGCTCTGGGCACCCTGCAGAGCCACCAGCACCCCGGGAGCCCCAGCACAGCTGTCCCCTGCTCACACACCCTCCCCAGCCCAGGGAGGCACCCAGGGGACTCCTCCCAGCTCCAGGAAATATTTGGAAGAGGCAGGTGTGTGCCAAATGGTGGGGCTGGGCAGGGAGGGGCCAGGGAGCCCCTGGGCTGCCCAAATCCCTGCCACAGGGACAGGGATGGAGGATGGCAGGGATGAGTTTTCAGGATTGTCAGAGAGACCAAAGGCTGATGTGTTTATTCCATATTCTCATTGCTGTTGTATCTTGCTGGTCTTTCAGGTGCCTGAATCATCCTTCACACCCCATTCCTGCCATCCCCCTCTGCCCAGGAGGGCCACTAGTGTCACCCCTGGTGTCACTGCTCCAAGCACCACAAAGCTCACACTAAAAGGGGGATAAACAAAGAACATTTAAAAATCCCAAGTGCCACATCCCAGCTGAGGCCGGGCAGGATGACACCCTCCATCCTTCTGCCATCCACAACTTTTTGGGGCATGTTTGGGGGGCACAGAGTACACCTGGAGATGGCCATCCCTCACTGTTGTGGTGTCTGGAGTATTGGGACATGTCCCAGTGGCACTGCCAGGACCCTGGGAAGGGCTGGGCAGCACCTGGGACATCCCAGTGGCACTGCCAGGACCCTGGGAGGGGCTGGAGAGCACATGGGATATGTCCCAGTGGCACTGCCAGGACCCTGGGAGGGGCTGGGCAGCAGACAGGACACTGAGCAGGAGGAATTCCTATTTCTACGCGGGGTTTTTCCAAGCCTTGCAGCGTCCCTGACCTCCTGACCTCGCTGCTGTCCCTCAGACATTCCTGGGCTGCTTGCTGGAGCTTTTGGATGAAGCAACCAACCTAGGGATGGAGGCACCTCCCAGGGGGGCTGAAGGCATCCCAGGAACCCAAGGGTGCTGAGGACACCGGGCCCAGGAACCTCCACTCCTTTGTTTTTTCTGGCACACCCAGTGCCCAGGCAGGTCCCTGAGGAGATGGGGCACGTCCTGTGCCTGGGCCAGGTGTCACCTCCATGGGTGGGTCGAGGACACGGCCTCTGTGAGCGCCCAGGGCTTGAGGCTGAGCTCACGGAGGCATTTCCCAGATTCTTGGCCAGAGCTGTTCATTTCAGAGCCACCCCTTCAAGCCCCAGACAAAAGCAGAAGCCTGTGGCCATGGGCCATCACATCTCGTCCTGCTCTCAAGGACAGCAGCTCCCCAGCCTGGCCAGGCAGGACCCCAAGAAAACCATTGCAGGGAGGTCCCCAAGCCTTGTCAGCTTGTGAGCAGCCCCAGCTGAGGTGCATCTGCCTTAGGAGGAGGAGGGAAAGAGGAAGAATGAGGGAAAGAGGATCCTGCGGGCAGCATCCCTGCAGAAGCCACAGTACCAATCCCACCCCTTTAGCCAGCCAGGGCACATGTGGTGCTGCAGTGGGACTCAGCCACCTCTGGGCTCACCTGCCAGGGGTTTCCTATTCCTCCCGAGGGATTTGCCCAGGTGGGAGCAGCACTCACACCCAGGAGCAGCAGAACACTGCCAGGCACGTCTGCTCAGGGCTCTCTGGGCGCTGAGAGCTCCCTGGGCTCCTCCCCGAGCACAGACACCCCCAGCCAGCTTTACCCTGCTGTGTGCTCCTTCCATGGGCTGGGACAAGCCATCCCAGGGAGCCCTGGAGTGCACAGGGCCCCAGGGATGGGCTGGAGCAGAAGCAGGGGAACCGAGCCCCACGGCCAGCAGCAGGGATGGGGACAGGAGGGATGTTACAGTGTGCTTGGGATATGCTTTTCCCCATTTCCAGGGACCCCTGAGACTCTGATCAGAGAAGTGTGGTCCCTTCCTTCCTGCTCTGACAGGTTGGCAGAGAGCCAGAACACCCTCCCTGTCCAGAGCCTAGATAAGGCCATGACCCTTCCTGTTCTCTCTCTTTCCCCCCTCATCCCATGGAATAAAGAATCTGGACAACCGGCATTAGATCCTCTTTTAAATCTTTGCCCATCTCCTAACATTTCTCCCCTCAAGGCCTCGTATATCTAGGCTAGCCTAATAATTCAGGGGCTGAGAGAGGTAGGAGCATCAGAGGGATGTGCCAGCTCTGGGGAGTCCCCAGCAGTGCCTCATCCAAGTGAAATGATCCCCCTAAAGTGTCTCCAGGAGCAGTCCCAGGGCTCTGGGAGGACGGGGAGCAGGGATGGAGCCCTTACCTTGCGGTGCAGCAGCTGGGCCTGCGGGCCCCCCGCGCCCTCGATCTCATAGCGGACGCTGTTGAACAGAGCGACTCCAAACTGCTCCTTGTAGCACTGGCAGAACTCGCCCAGCACCTTCCCCGTCTTCTCTGCAACAGAACAGCAGAGCCACGTCAGAGCCACCGCTCCCCCGGGCTGGGTTTGGGGTCTGAACCCCCCAGAGCCCACCCAGACCCCTCCCCAGTCACCCCCCTGCCCGCTGGAACAGCCTCTGGTGCAGAACCCGCTGCCTTCCGCCCTCCCTGCCCAGCCCAGGGCCTGATTCAGGGTCAGGATGATCTCTTTCTTTTTGGCCTTTCACATTAATTTCATGGATTCCTCTCCCCGGCAGGAAATTCCTGACATTGAGCTGATTCCGGCGCTGCTGCCGGGGTTTCCTGTGCCTTGTGCAGCTCCTGGCCCTGCTCTGGCCACCTCAGCTGGGGGCAGCCCCCCATTCCCCAGCCCGAACATCACTGACACCCCCGACCCCACTGTGCCCCCACAGGGCCATCCCACAAAGGGGCTCCCAGCCTGTGCTGCAGCAGGGCTGGGATGGGGTTGGGGTGAGGGAAAAAGACAGCCTGGACCCCCACACTCACTCATGTGAGGCAGAGACCCCCACCAGCACCCCAAACTCCAATCTGGGATGAGCCCAAGGTGCTGGGAGAGCCTGTACTCTGAGGTGTCCCCTGCACCCCACACTGGGGGAGATCCCCTCCATCCCACAGGCAGCCCCTTCCTCAGCACCCCTTTGATGCAGGGGGTGGGGGCCCACTGCAAACCCACTCCCAGCAGTGGGGATGGGGCTTTGCCAGCCCCAGTGTGGCCACAGGAGCCCCGTGGGTACCCTGACCCACCCAGCACCCTCCCCACCCCCGCCCCAGACCCCACACAGGGGTCCCACACCAAAACCCCTTCCTGCAGCATCCCAAGGCTGGAGAAACACCTCCCCCACCCCGAGCTGCTTTTGGCACACAGAGCCTCGACTTTGAACTCCCCAGTCAACTCTGCCCCAGAGCCTGTGAAAAATGAAGAATTTGAGTCTCCTCCAACAATTCCTGACAGCTCAGGCTTTGCCAGAGCACTGGCGATGGTGTGGGGAGGAGGATCCTGGCTCTGCATCCCAGAGCTGGAGCCAGCACGATGCTGGGGGCACAAACCCAGACAAAACAGCCCCCACGCCGGCTTGGCACAGCCTGGCAGCAGCCAAAACCTCCAGCAGGAGCCAGAATCTCCAACAGCAGCCAAAATCTCCAAGAGCAGCCAGAATCTCCAGCAGGAGCCAGCCCGGAGCTGTGCTGGCAGCCAAGGCAGCACAAGGAGCAGCTTTGCTGCAGGGTGCTGCAAATCCCCACGGGATGAGCAGCTCCAGAGGAAAATGCTGCCTGAAGAGAGATAAACCCATCCCTGAGGAGATGCCAGCACTGCCAGGCATGGGAGCAAACCACAGAGCAGCAGCAGCACGCTGTGCCAGGGCGAAACCCCCCAAAATTGAAGAAATTCACAGCAAAGGATGGGATGCCCCAGCTCATCCCAGCACAGAATTCCTCAGGCTGGATTTTGGCCTCTCCTCCTGGCCTCCACGCACCACCTCTGTTGCAATTCCTGCCCAAGCTGTGTGATTCTGGCCAGGGCTCTGGGCAGCCATGCAGACAGCTGAGATTTAAAAGGATGTTTTGAGGTTTCATTTCCTTTCAGTCCATGGGAAAAAAGGAGCCCCCAGTCCCTGGGCAGGCGAGACAGCTTAGTCACTCATTCTTCCCTGATTAACAGCAGGGCCAATTAGGAGGGTTGAAGTAAATGGAAAAGCAAAAGTCAATAATTTGCAGAGGTTGGGAACAAGAGTTGCAGTCAAACATCTGAGGTGACTAAATCTGCCCAGGCTTGGCAGGACTCTCTGGGGTGCTGGGGGTGGTGCTGGGGCCACTGCTGCTCCCTGCCTGGTAGCCCTGGTGGCAAGCCCAGGGGAGCAAGAGGGACAAAGACCTCTGGGGATCAGGAGTGACATAAGAGTGGAGTGTTAGAGGGGGACTGTGCCTGAGTAGAGGGTGGGTCATGCCAGAGGGTGCCCTGACCCCTCACATCCGGACACCCTCGCAGGGCTGATGTGTCACCCTCAGGAACTGCCTCAGCCACCCCCGGCTCCTCCATCAGGCTGAGAAAAGCCTCCAGGCAGAGCTGGGGGCTGTGCAGAACATTCCCTGCCAGCACAATGGAGCACCGAGGGCTGCAGAGAGCACTGAGGGCTCCAGAGCACTGAGGGCTCCGAGAGCACTGAGGGCTCCAAGAGCACTGAGGGCTCCAGAGCACTGAGGGCTGCAGAGCACTGAGGGATCTGAGAGCACTGAGGGCTGCAGAGCACTGAGGGCTGCAGAGCACTGAGGGCTCCGAGAGCACTGAGGGCTGCAGAGAGTAATGAGGGCTCCAAGAGCACTGAGGGCTCCGAGAGCACTGAGTGCTCCAGAGCACTGAGGGCTCCAGAGCACTGAGGGCTCCGAGAGCACTGAGGGCTCCAGAGCACTGAGGGCTCCAGAGCACTGAGGGCTCCGAGAGCACTGAGGGCTCCGAGAGCACTGAGGGCTGCAGAGCACTGAGGGATCTGAGAGCACTGAGGGCTCCAGAGCACTGAGGGCTCCAGAGCACTGAGGGCTGCAGAGCACTGAGGGATCTGAGAGCAATGAGGGCTCCAGAGCACTGAGGGCTGCAGAGCACTGAGGGCTGCAGAGCACTGAGGGCTCCGAGAGCACTGAGGGCTCCAGAGCACTGAGGGCTCCAGAGCACTGAGGGCTCCGAGAGCACTGAGGGATCTGAGAGCACTGAGGGCTGCAGAGCACTGAGGGCTCCAGAGCACTGAGGGCTCAGAGAGCACTGAGGGCTCCGAGAGCACTGAGGGCTCCAGAGCACTGAGGGCTCCAGAGCACTGAGGGCTCCGAGAGCACTGAGGGCTGCAGAGATCACTGAGGGTTCCCAGAGCACTGAGGGCTGCAGAGCACTGAGGGCTCCAAGAGCACTGAGGGTTCTGAGAGCACTGAGGGCTCTGAGAGCACTGAGGGCTCTGAGAGCACTGAGGGCTCCGAGAGCAATGAGGGCTCAGAGAGCACTGAAGGCTGCAGAGAGCACTGAGGGCTCCAAGAGCACTGAGGGCTCCAGAGCACTGAGGGCTGCAGAGCACTGAGGGCTCCCAGAGCACTGAGGGCTGCAGAGCAATGAGGGCTGCAGAGCACTGAGGGCTGCAGAGAGCACTGAGGGCTCCAGAGCACTGAGGGCTCCCAGAGCACTGAGGGCTGCAGCTCCACCACCAAAGTCACCCACCAGTGGCTGTCCCTCCACCAGCAGCTTTGGCTGCACGGCCAGCCAAGAGCTGGAGGGGTCTGGGGACAGAGGACACAAGCCCCTAGATTGTCCTCAGACCCTTCTGTCATGGCAGAGGAGGGAAGGGACACACTGGGTGTGGGCTCAGACACCCACAAAGCACTTTGGCAAACAGAAGCACCCACAGGAACCTCCCAGGGACGGGTGTCCCCAGCCAGCCAGCCACCCCCAGCGCTTCCCCAATGCCACTTCTTGCTCTGGGACCGGCACCCGCACCCTCCCCTGTTGGAATTGGTGGTATTGATGATTTTGACATTGTAGAAAGTCTTTGTCTTTTTGCCTTGTTGTTAAAGAAGAAGTTATAATTTGTGTTGGTTTTTAAGGTTGTTTATTCTGTTTATCTCTAACATGTTCTGCTGCTCTGCCCAGCTCTGTCCTGCAGGGCAGCGTGTGGGGCTCTGCCCCTTAGTGGGATGTTACAAACAGTATATACCAGAAACTACCTGTGCTATATTTACAATAATGTGTTAATATTTATTATTTATGTTGAATAGTGTGTCCTTAGCCAAAATAATAGAAAAATGTCAATATTACAGTGAAACATGGAGGGCATGAAGGAGAAAAAGGACAAGACACAATTTTTTCTTTTTTGTTCTTTTTGAACCTCTAATTTAGAATCCTAAAATTTTACTTTTGCACCCATGCCACACTTAATTATTACTTATATCAAACACTCAGAGCTTGTAATTCATCCTGTAAGACTGAAAACTCTTTTCCATGGACAGAGATCACAGCCAGTGTCTCTGGGGGCTCTGTCCAGGGGGGTTCCTGACCACCTGCCAGGGTTCTAGGCTTTCTATGGCAGCCAGAGGGAAGCTCTGGATCCACACCCTCCCCCTGCCACCACCCCATCCCTGGCACACCCAGAGGGGTGGCTGGGCTGGCACAGGCTCTGGCACAGGCCCTGGCACATCCCGCTGGCTCCTGGCAGGGGGAAGCCACTGTGGGGTTCCAAGAGCAGCGGCAGCAGCAACGCCCGGCTGGCGGATCCCTGTGTCAGCACCTCTGGTCACAGAGCTGCTCTGTCCCCAGCCCCAGCTCCCTCCTTCCTCTCTGTGACTCAGGCACACGTGGTGGCTCCAGCAGGAGGGATGTGAAGGGGCTGCACAGCCCACAGGGCACAGAGGGGGCTCTGGGCACCCAAACCCCAGCCCGGGCTGGGATGCTGGCAGCAAGGACAGGGCTCAGCCAGGACAGGGCTCAGCCAGGCCACAGCGGCTCCCAGCCACGCTCCTGCCGGGTCCCCAGGGCCCCCACCCCGTGCTGGCATCACCAGCCTGTGCTGTGGGCACAGCAGGGCACAGGGACGGGCAGGGCAGCACAGGTGTGTCCACAGGTGAGCCCCAGGCTCCTGTGGTTGAAACCAGCTGGGAGAGGAGGCTCCTCTCCTGCCCAGCCCCTGACCGACCGGGAGTGCCACCAGAGCTGTCACCCAGCCCAGGTGACAGGCAGGGCACAGCCCTGGAGCAGTCGGTGCCCCAAGGGCTCAGAGGTCACGGCCCGGCCAGGGCAGCCCTGGCTGGCTCCTGGTCCCTCTGAGCCAGGGCAGGAGGTGGATTTTGCCTTCAGGATTCCAAAGGCAAACTGTCCAAGCTGGTCCAGCAGCCTGGGCTGGCTGTGTCCTGCCCTTGGGAGCATCTCCAGCCCCATAATCAGCCCCACACACGGAATCATGGATTGCTGTGGGCTGGAAGGGACCTTACATGTCATCTCCTTCCACCCTGCCATGGCAGGG